GATAAGAAATGCCACCAGGAATGCTCAGACAGGTGCTGTCTGGTGTTTTCCAGGCTCAGATGCAACAGCTCCAGTGGTACAGGTCCCCCATGGGTATCTTCAGCAGCAAAGGAGTAGGTACATCCAAAGGGTGAGGGGAAATCATCTCTTCTTCCATTAGTTTCCCAGTATGAGTGCTGGTGTTGCTGGTGAGGTTCCCACCTCTGCAGTTTAAACTAATAAAGGCACTGGGTGCTTTTGGATGGGCTCCTTGGTTTCTCCACTGCCAATAGAGGAGCTCAGAGAGCCCCAGTTCACAGTTCACACAAACCTCATGGAACTAAGCAGGACCCAGGAGCTCAACCCTCAGCCCTATAACACCTTTAGGGGCTGTAATCCCTGAATCCCTTCCACTACCCCCTCACCACCCTTCCCTGAAATGCTATTTTTTTCTTGGCCCCACAACAGTCTAATTGTCTCACACACACCTCCCACCAAGCCCAACACACAGTCTACACATGTGAAGCAGTGGCAGTGGTCAACATTCCATAGGAAGCCCATCCTGTCTGTCTTAGACTCCTCACACAATTGCCTGAAAAAAAGGCTTTCAAAAGAACAACAACAAAAAAAAAATAAAAAAAGAAGGCAAAGCAAAAGCAAAATTAAGGTAACAAAGAAAGTGGTGGAGCTTTAGGTTTTCTTTTATAAAAGACAAATCGTTTATTGATTCAGTCCTTCCACTTGCAACCTCTTTGGTAACAGTCATAACACTTCCAGACTGGGAGAACGCAGTGGAAAGGCCCAGTTCTGACCTCTCACCAGTTTCAGAGCTCAGCAAGCCCCGAGATGTGCCCTGGTGAGAGGCCAGAAGCAGGTTTCAAAGCGTGGCCAAGGACGTGGCCTCGAGGGACAGCCCAGACCAGCCCACCCTACCGTGACTCGCTGCGCTCGTGGGTGGCCCAGAGAGAGCAGCCCTGGCACCCCCAGGCAGAAGGTGGCTCAGGATGGGGATGGCTGGCTGTGAGCCGTGCCCTGGAAGGTGGCTTTGATGAACCTCTTGGGACCTCCTGGACACTGGCCAGCGGGGCCCTCAACGAAGCAAGACTCGCCCGTTCCTGCGGTAGACAACGCCTCGCCTCAGCCGGCCCCGCGGTGATGGACTGATCCGACCACCTCAGCCCTCCCCCTCCTCACACCATCCCAAAGAGAGTAATTGCTGTACTTGGAGTTAAAGATAAACATATATTGATTACACATGGTCATTAAAAAAAAAAAAAGAATAATAATAATAATACATTTCCTAGAACATTACTTAAGACGCTTCCGAAAAGCATCCGAGCTTCCCCTCCCCTCCCCGCCTTCCCTTATCTATACAGAATAAAGTGCTTCATTTAAGTTTGTTCACACTAGTAGAGCCACCAATACACTCTTTAACTTGGCATGTTTGGGCAACCGATACTGAATGCCGGAAAAAATAATACAGAGCCAAACACCAGGCATGAGAAACTAGTTTTGAGGCAAGTGCTTGGGGTTTCATTCGTTTCCTTCAAGTTCCATGCTACTGAGGTTGTTCTCATTCCTATTTTTTAGCTTTTTTTTAGCTTTTTTTTTTCTTTTTTTATTTTAACTATTATTTTCTTCCTTCGCAAGTCCGACCCAACTCCCGTCGTGGTTCCGTGTCACCGGGCAGGGCTGCGTGTGGGGAAGCTCTCGCCGTCCGTGCGAACAAGGGGTGTCTGTTCTGTCCGTCCTTCCCTCCCTCCCAGCTTCGGGCAAACCAAGAGTTCACTCGGTGGAGTTGTCTAGCAGCGGATGCTCATCTCTATTGCACTGTCACAGCCATTCCCACCCGTCCGTCCATCCATCCGTCCGTCCGTCCCACCGCGCCGGGGTTATGGCTGTGGTCCGTAGGGCCAGCCGCGCCTCACGGGGGCGTGAGGCCAACCGGTCTGTGCTACCAGGCTCCTGGGATACGTAAAACCAAAGAGAAAAAAAAAAAGGACCCTCCCCACACGACTCCCTCCCTCCCAAAAAGTTCAAAAGAAGGGATGAAGGGTAAAAAAATAAATCCCAACCCGGGCGGGTGTGGGGTGTGGGTGCGTGGGAGGAGTTGCCGGCTGGACGTTGCGTTTGCGGCGTGTCCGTGAACTGCGCCGTGGAAAACAAGCCCCTCTCCGCCCCCGCGGTCGTGCCGGAGAAGGGGTGTGAGAGATTAAGGTGCAAGAGTTAAAAATCAAAATAATAATAAAAAAAAAAAGGAATTTAAAAAAAAAAATTAAAGTAAAACGTAAAAAGCTTGAAAGCGATGGACCCGACTCCTCCGCCTCCTGCCCCGTCCAAGCCCAATGGGTGCAACAGGGCTGGCCGGGATGGATCCGGGATGGATCCGGGATGGACGAGGCACTGCGGGAGCGACTCGTCTGAGCTCTTAGTACTCTAATGAAAACCAGACATGGAGACACACTGGGGCTGAGTAAGGGTGTAGACAAAAGGGCTCGGAGGCCTTGTAGGACTCCTGGGAACTGCCCGGGCCTTGGAGAGGGGAGGGAGCAGCAGGGATCTGGTTCTCCAAAGTGCTGTGTGCATGGTCACATCTCGACATCTCCAAGTGGCTCTCGAAGGGGATCGGGCGCGGCTGGGATCAGCCACTGGGCTCTCCGCTGGGCTTCCACCCTCAGTGAAGTGCTCTCATCTCACAGAGATGTCCAAGGGGGGCAGGTCCTCACTTGGGAGAGGATGAACTGGGGCAGGAACAGGGAAAGCCACCTCCAGGTGAGTGGTACAAGGGAGCAGATGTTGGTGTGGGTGTTTACTTGAGGGGAAGAAGTCTATCAGCCAGGCAGCCCATCCAAGCCCTCAGGGCAGAGTGTTCCCATCCTATCTCGAGGTTGAGCATGAGGGGAAAGAGGCACAGGGAAGCCTAAGGGGGATCTGGGAGGCAGTGGAGGAGGAGACAGCATGGACCACTCCAACACCTCCACGGGTATCACCGAATGCTTCTCTAAAACAATCATCTTCCAGTCTGGATCATGGTCCCTTCAGAAAGCCAATGGCCCCAAGAGCTGAGTGCCCCCATCCCTCATGGATCTGTGTTTGGGAAGGCTTTGCACCATTCCAAGGAGCCCCAGGGCCACTGAGGACAGCAGGGAAGCCTCTGGAACCCACTGAGAAGGTCGATATGGAGAAGCAGCTCTGCCATAGCAACCTCCTTTAGCTTGAAGCAGAAGGAGATGGGGGTGAGCTCACTGGTACCAAGTGAGGTGCTGGGGGATCCACGGGATCCCAGTCAACATGGGGATCAAAAGCAATCTGTTGCTCCAAAATGCCAACATCCACAAGAGCAGCCAGCTTTCCCGAGATGCCAGGCATGGTGGGCACCACTCAGCACGAGGGCACAGCACTCAGCTGACCCGTCACCTCAAAGGGCACTCAGCACAACAGCAGAAACTCCCCTGTCCTGTCCCTGTCAGGCTCCTGCAGAGCCCCTGAGCAGGGGGCTGACTCCTCCCATCTCTGCAGGGGCAGCCTCAACGCTGCCCAAGTGCTTTGCAGATTTGGTCCAGGAGGTGAAGCACCAAGACCTTTCACAGAGCTGGTGTGGCTCGTTGTGCCCAGCGCTCTGCTGTCACCCAGAGCAAGGTGCAAATGAGACAGGGCTCCTGCAGCCCACTCAAGGACCTCTCTTCCTTCTTGCCTACCAAGAGCTCTGCTCACCACCTCCTCCATGACCTGATCCATGTCCGTATTGACCCCAATTCTGGCCTGGGGAGCAAGGAGTCAGCTGCAACACATCCCACCTCTCTGCCTGTGCTGGACGCTCTCTGGCCCCAAAGGGGACACTTTCCCAAGCAAGGAGACCATACAACTGTGGCCAGGCCTATGCATGATACCCTGGAGCAGAGCAAAGCACTGAGAAACCCAGCTGGGACCCCATTGTCCAACAAAAAGGTGACAGCAAAGCCTTCCTCTTCTCTGCCATGAAGCCAGGCATATTATTCCTAAGTGAAACCAAAGACCAGCTCAACTTCAGTAACTTCAACTAACCAATGCTCCAGGACATCACCAAAACAACCACAGCCCTCACTGGTCCCCTCTGGTCCCTCCAAACCAGGGCAGGGCAATGGATACCAAACCCAAAAGGAGAGGCCAATCTTAGGAGACCAATGCAGGCAAAAAACTGGAGGACAGGGCATTGTCACCAGGCTGAAGGAGGTCTTGCTTTAGCTCCAGACCTTGCAACGGGGCCCAACCTGGAGCTCACCCACCACTCAGGGGTTATTCGAATTGTTAAGGCACTATTCCGGGCCGATTCTGCCGAGGAACGGCAGCGTCCTGCTCCTCTGTCCCAGGCCACCCTCCTGCCGGTCCCAAAGCCATCTGAGCGCTCCCAGGGACAGCTCGCCAACTCCAGAGCATCCCCAGGAGCCCAGCTCCCACTGGGATTAGCAGAAAGGGCACACTGGAGCCTGGCACACATAGGGCACCCTAAAAATGAACCGGCAACGAGCTGCAGACGCCCCGAGATGCAACGCGGGTGTTTGTGCTTTTGCCTATGGAGGAGGAAAACCTGGCACAGGGAAGGAAGATGTGGCGAGGGCTGCTAAGGAGAGCGTGCTGATGGCTTTCCAGTGGGGACATCGGGGCTCCTCCATGGTGCCCACCTCTCAACCTGGTGGGAGAAGAGCCTGAATTGAAAGACCAGCTTTACAGTACAGGGATTCAAGCACCACTAACTGGATTTCAGCTTAGAAATATCGATGCACCGGCAGGAATTCGTTCGCTCAACGCCGGATATCGGGACGTCCTGCTCCTCCCAGCCCCGCCAGCATCCCGGGACAAAGATGGAGCTGAAGATGAAGCAGAGAGTGACAGCTTTTACCTACACCCTTACGGACGGACGGTGGTTCCCCCCCAACACCCACACTCCTCTGGAAGGGCCTCTTCCTGCTCCCCCTTTCTGCGGAGGATGACGGGTGAGAAAAAGGAATAAAAACCCAAAACAACCCCAAAACGAGGAGGAAGGGGGGGGTAGAGAGCAAGCAAAGCCTCGTCTCCCCGGGGGGGGAGGCGTTCCCGAAGGGCAGAGCAGTCCGTGCAGGCGCATGGCCGGGGTGGGGGGGCACCTAGTTGTTGTTGGAATTTATCCTCCCCGCGGGAAAGAGGGGAGGGGGCGGCGGTAGGTGAGGAGGAGGAGGGAGGGTCTGTGGGAGAGGATGGAGCAGCGGCAGGGGCAGGGGGGACACGCCGGGGCCGGGGGGCAGCGGGGCGGGGCTGGTGGCGGGTTGGGGGGGCAGCCGTGTCCGAGGCCAAGGGGTTGCTGACGCGGAAACATTTCTCCTTGTGGGCCTTGAGCATGTTGGAGAAGCGGAAGCGCTGCCCGCACACGTCGCAGGGATACGGCTTCTCCCCCGTGTGGGTCCGGCGGTGCCGCTTCATGTTGGGGCGGCTGGTGAAGCTCTTCCCACAGATCTCACAGATGTAGGGCTTCTCGCCTGAGGGTGGGAGAACGTGGGTGAGAAGCTGGGGATTGGGCCAAAACCCCCATCACAGAATCGACCAGGCTGGAAAAGACCTCTGAGATCATCAAGTCCAACCCATGACACAACACCACCCTTTCAACCAGACCATGGCACTGATGCTACATCCAGTCTGTCCTTAAACACCTCCAGGGATGGTGACTCCACTTCCTCCCTGGGCAGCCCATTCCAATGGCTGAGCACTCTCTCTGTAAAGAATTTCTTCCTAATGTCCAACCTAAACTGCCCCTAGCACAGCTTGAGACTGAACCCTCTTCTCCTACTGCTGGTTCCTGGGAGAAGAGCCCGACCCCCACCCGGCTCCCCCCTCCTGTCAGGGAGTTGCAGAGAGTGAGGAGGTCTCCCCTGAGCCTCCTCTTCTCCAGGCTCAACAACCCCAACTCCCTCAGCCTCTCCTCGCAGCACTTGTGCTCCAGTCCCTTCTCCAGCCTCGTTGCTCTTCTCTGGACCTTCTCCAACCCCTCCATGTCCTTCCTGAGCTGAGGGCCCAGAGCTGGACACAGCACTCCAGGGGTGGCCTCACCAGCACTGAGTCCAGGGGCAGAATCCCTGCCCTGCTCCTGCTGCCACACTGTTCCTGAGCCAGGCCAGGATCCATTGGCCTTCCTGGCCACCTGGGCACACTCTGGCTCATGTTCAGCTTCCTGTTGATTAGAACACCCAGGTCCCTTCCTACTTGGCCCTGTCCAGCTACTCTGTCCCCAGCCCGTGGGGCTGCTGGGGGTTGTTGTGGCCAAAGTGCAGGACCCGGCACTTGGGTCATCCTTCCATCCACGCAAAGATGCTGCTCCCACCCCGTCGCTCTTTCCCCAGAGTTCCTGACCGCAGGAGTTTGGGGAAAGGTCAGGGGCTCTTACCTGTGTGTGTTTTCATGTGCTCATCAAAGTACTGCTTCATGTTGAAGTCCTTGCCACACCACTGGCACATGAACTGCTTGTGGCCGATGTGGATGCTCATGTGGGAGCGCAGCTGGTACTTGTACTGGAAGCGCTCATTGCAGTTCTGAAGGGGTGAGACAGGGATGAGTTCCTGATCAAGACCCAAAACACCCCCCCCCAAGTCACCAGCAGTGAAGAAATCCCTTTTTTTCTCCCAAAAGAGAACCCACATAAATGGCTTTTTGGGCCATAGCCAACCAGGTTTGCAGGATGGATGGGCCTGGGGTGGTATGTAAGATCCAGGTACTGGAGGAACAGATCCTGGCATTGGACAAGTTTCATCACATGGGTGGTGGAACCCTCAAACCAGGAGGGGACGCAAAGTTTGGAACAGTGTGGGAGCATCCCTACAGCTGCACTGGCACAAAGCAGGGGGGAAGCCTCAAGAAGTGGAAGATCTTTCCCCAAATCAGCGGTTTTGTACTCATTTGAGAGGCCACACCCAGGACCTTACCTCGCATTTAAAAGGCTTTTCCCCGGAGTGCTGGAGCGAGTGGACCTTGAGGGACATGCTACGCTTGAAGGACTTCCCGCAGGTCTCACAGGTGAATGGCATGTCCTTGGTGTGTGCTGAGGGGAAGAGGGGCAGGGTCAGGTCCCCACACCTCCACCATCCCTCTCCTCACACCTCCACCATCCCTCTCCCCACATCCCAGCCATCTCTCCCAACCCCAGCAAACCCAAAGTCATCTTGGGAAGATACACAGCATCAACATTTTAAGTTCTTCCCTAATTTCTTACCCAAACCTGCTTTTTTTTTTTTTTTTTATCTATTTGGTCCCTGCAATGCCCAGGGACCTGATCTACCATTGCCACGTGTAATTTGCTTTCCAAAGCCCAGCACTGGTGTGGCCTGGTCCTATTTTACAAGGGAAGGATGGTCGCACTTCAAACCCTCCTTTGAGCACTTCTGAGGTCTAATTTTGTCTGGTTAAATTAAATAAAAGGGGTTCTCCAACACCACACCCCAATTGCTCCACACCCAGCACTGAGCAGACACAGGTTCAACACTAAATACTGGGCCTAATTTTGAGGTGTTGATGTGAGAAAGCTCACACAAGATTAAGCCCAGCTCTAAACACCCAAGAACAACAAAAAACCAGCTTTCACTGCCAAACTGCTGGATGAAGACCCCTAATGAAGTCTCCCCGTGGCACCGGTGCCCCCCGCACTCACCAACCATGTGTTTGCGCACGTGGGCCATGGTGTAGAACTTCTTCTCGCAGATCTCGCAGGAGAACTTCTTCTCTGCATAGCCATGGACGATCTTGTTGTGCTCGTGGAGAGACCAGAGCTTCTTGAAGCCCTTCCCACACGTCACACACTGCAAGGAGAGAGGGGATGGTGAGGGAAGCGGGGGAACGCGCCCAGACACCACCAGCGTTTTCTTCTCACTGGGCAACCACCTTCTTCCGGTGAAAGGGAACATCACTGTGACACCTACAGCTGAGATATCAAAAATCAGAATGACCAGCAAGTGTGACACAGACCTCGCCACTCCAAAACCTCCAAACCTCAAATTTCTATCCATGGGATGAGGAAGGGACAATGTCCTTCCAGGGAAGGACGTGGCATCTCCATCAGTGGCTGTATTAGGACTTGTGAAAGCAGCAGCTCATGCACCAAGGCCCTATTCCCAACTGTGAATTTTATTTCCTAAATGAAGCCATCACATAAAATAATCCCAACCCTCTGTGTAAAGAATATAGAAACAAGGGGAATCCCAAGCCAGGGCAGCACAACTTCAGTCTTCAGCAGATATTACGGATACTTCACCGCTGAATGAGTTTTGCAAACATATCTATGACTCTGTGATGTCCAAATGGACCAAAATGGACCCAAAAAAACCAGTCCATCAGCACGAGAAGAACAACACAACGTGCAAAGTCTTTTCCAAGAAGTTTTGGTTGGGATTTGCTTCAGCTCCAACAAATTCAGTGTTTCTCTGGAAGTTCTAAGGAAAAGCTCCAGCTTTGGGGTGAGACCTGTTTGAAGAATGTGAGGGCAGTTCAGCGCTCAGGGAAACACTGTTGTCCACACAGGAAACCACTGCTGGAGCACAGGGAAGGTAGGCAAGGACCCTGCCAGGAGCCAAGGGTCTCTCTTTCCCTCAAGGGACAACTCTTTCCACTTCATCTTTCCCCGACTCATCTTCCTCTTGGTCAACAGGGATAAAACCATCCCTTCTCCTCATAGATGTGTTGAGAAAATAATTCAAGCCTTGGAGGCACCTCAGAACAGCAGAGCTGAGTGGTACCAGTGGACCCAGGGAGGGATTTCTTCACCTTCCCCTCCTACCCAGAGGAACAGATGCTCATTGATGGACTTCAACCTAATTTTGCTGTGATACCATTGAAAATACACCTTTATGCTGTGAAGTCACAGTATCTCTCCATGTATATTTATATGTAGGTGCCCAAGGGGCAAAATTAGGGTCACAGAGCCACTCCCAACCCTCATCATCTTCATCCTGCCCTGCTCAAATGTCAACACGGGTAATCCTCTGAGTTTTACCGTTCCTGAGTATGTATTTCCATGGATTCCAGTTTTATCTCTGCTTTCAGAAGTATTTCAGGGCAAATTCAGGACTAGAGCCTGATATCAAAGACACATCAATATCCATTTTCTCCACTTCAAATGAAAAAGGCTGCAGGGGAATTTTAAAATGAAAAGTAGAGGGAAAGCAGCAGAGGTAGGAAAAACCTCAGGCTGGGACCAAACACCCCGGAGGGCTGAGCTCTGTGTCCTCAGCTACTGCAGAAAATCGTCACTCAAAAATGTGGAAGTAACGTCCAAATGAGGGGAAAAAAATGAGAATATAAATCCTTTCAGGTTAAGAGGAAAATCATACTGAAGCTGACCGAAAAAAGAGTTTGAGGAACAACCCAACAAAGAAAAGGATGAATCGCTTTTCAGGTGGTGGAGGCGGGATGCACGTTAGGGACATGGGCAATGATCACAGAGAGTGAGATGATGCCTAAAACCTAAAGCACTGTGGATGAAATTTGGGGACAAAATAGGGAAGGAAAGTAGCAGAGCTGGCTGGGATAAGAGAGATGGTTCCTCTATGGATCTGGTTAAAAACCAAGAAATAAAGACTGTCTATTAAACATATAAAGTTGAAAAAAAAATCCCTTTTCCATGCAGACATAATTCCATGGTATATTGATAAAGTTATTCAATATTATCAGAGCAAATGGAGTGAATTTGGCTATTTGTCAAACTAAAAATGCTCAATTAAGTGAGAGATAATGATCCCTTTTTCCACAGAAGGAGGTCACTGCAGGGGCAGTTGTGGCTTGTCCTACTCAGAAATGACCTGGAAAAGGCATAAAAAAGGAGGGGGGAAAAAAGCAATGAGGTGTCAGCCCCATGTGACCCACCTGGAAAGCAGATGAGGCTGAGGAAACATCCTGGGAAAACCCCTTTTTAATTTCCCAGGCTTTATGATGGGCTCTGAAACAGCCACCACCACTCAGGTACTGGAGCTGTGCTCATCCATCCTGGGAAAAACCCTCCAAAAGAAACAACCTCAGCGCCTTGAATTTTCCAGGAATATGCACTAAAGGGTCAGCGCAGGCAGTGCTGCACCTGGGAGCTGAGACTGTTCCTGCCTCCCTGTTCCCTGCATGCCCTAAGGCCAAAATCTGCCTCATTCCCTATTTTATTTGGCCTGCCATTGGCCAAGGACTCCAGCAACACTTGGGTTGTGTTCCCTTCCTAGAGGAGAGCTGGGAGATCATTTAAAATCTGCTCGCTGGCTGGAAGGATGATGGATGAACTCTCCAGAAATTGGGATATTTTTAATTAGCGGCAGCAGCGTCATGGAAAACAGTTCATTGTGGATTAGGAGAAAGGATGGAGGGACCTTCAGGAGCACACATTTGCTGCTCTGATGGGGTGCCTCCCTATCCCCCCCAAAACTGCACAGATTGAACAGACACAATTTGAAACATAGGATCTCTTTAGCACAGGGGGAAGGACACACCAAGCCTGAGCCACCCAGGGATGTCAAATGCTTTCGGAAATTTGCTAATACACATTAAAAAAAAGCACAAAAGGCAGATTAAAACCATTTTGACTCCTGTCAGCAAATCTTCAAATTAAGCTAAACTGGGTTCAGCCTGGGTGGGAACGACTGGAGCGTGTCTCCATCAGGGTCTCACAAAGTTTTATCCAGATTAACTGAATCAACTCAAAAGAAAAATAACTCCTCCAAAATTAACTCCATGTTTCCACCCAAGCAGCCAAGGAGGAAGGAATAATCTCCCTGCACAGATCCCATGGCACTGTGGGATCCTCCTGAGCCTGAATACGAGCCATGGGAGAAGGAAGGTTTCTTCCCATCAGGATTACCAGAGCATGAGCCCATCCCATAGCATAGCTCGGTGGGATGACCTCCACGGTGTTTGGGATGTCCCTCCCCCATCAGGATGCCCCAGCATGGTGGAATGCTCCTCCTTTGGTGAGACAGTCCCACCTTGGTGGGATATCCATCCCCAGTGGGATACTTCACCCCTTGGTGGGATATTTCTCCCTTGGTGGGATGGACATCCCCAGCGGGATGCTCCACTCTTGGTAAGGTATTTCCTGCCTGGTGGGATGTACAACCCTACTGGGATGCTCCACCCTTTGGTGGGATATTTCCCCCTTGGTGGGATGTTCACGTCCCTGCCCTGGGGATGGGGTTGGCTCACCTGGATGTTCTTCTCACAGTCGGTCTGGTGGTGCAGGAGCAGCTCACTCTCCAGCAGGAAGCGCTTCCCGCACTTGTCACAGATCTGCATCCGGCTGTGGGTGACGTTCATGTGCTTCTCCAGGTACCAGCGGTTGTTGAAGATCCGGGGGCACTTCTTGCACGGGTAATGCTGCTTCTCCTCCAGCTTCACCTTCTGCCCCAAACCATCCTGTTCCTTTTTCCTCTTCCTCCCTCGCTGGCCTTCTTCTTCCTCCTCCTCCTCCTCTTCCACCTTGGCCATCTCCTGGGACCTGGTTGCCATGGTGGGTTTGGTGGCCTTGGAGGCCCGGCTGCCCCGGCGGGGCTGCCCGCCCTTCTCCCTTTTCATCTCCGACGCGTCCTCATCGTCATCGTCATCGTCCTCTTCTTCCGTCGTCTCCTCCAGGTCTTCCTCCTCGCTGCGCTCCTCCTCCTCCTCATCACCCACCTCCGCGTCCTCCTCCTCTTCCTCCTCCTCCTCCCCTTCCTCACCCTCCTCCTCCCCGTCCTCCTCCGTGTCGCGCCCGTCGCCGTCCGGCCGCCCCATCACGGCCGCCTCGCTGGCGGCCGCCTTGCCCTCCGTGCCCTTGGAGACGTTGAGGGTCTGGTTGTTGAGGTTCACCTCCACGATGATCTGCTCCCGGTTGTACGAGCCCTGGCTGTCCAGGTCCTCCTCGGACTCTTCCCCTTCTATCTTGCACACGGCGCCGGCGCCGCCGTCCTTCTCCTCCTTGTAGTACTGCTTGGCGGGGCCGGCGGGGAGCGTCCCGCCGCCCGTCCCGTCCTCCACCCGCACCGAGAAGGGGTCGTTGCCCTCCCGGGCGTAGATTTTGGGGTGGGGGGCGTCCACCTCCTGCTTGATCTCGCAGTAGTAGGGCGGGGGCCCCGCGCAGCCCTCGGCGGGCAGGGCCATGTCGGTGGCCAGGCTGAGCGAGCGCGTGTCCAGCAGGTCCTGGCAGGACGACGCGATGTTGTTCATCTGCAGCACGGCGGCCGCGTTCAGCACGTCCTGCACATTGCAGGAGTTGACGAGCAGCTTGGAGGTGTAGATGAAGTTGAGGATCTGCTGGAGGCCCTGCGAGGTGAGGGCCTCCAGGGAGAGCTCCACGCGCTGCAGCTGCTTGTTCTGGGTGAAGAGGGAGTGGAAGAACTGGCTGTAGGCGGCCAGGACCCCCTTGTGCGCCGGGAAGATGCTCTTGTGCTGCACCAGCACGATGTCCACGTCGCACAGGTCCGGCTGAAAGAGGCGCTGCTCGTTCAGTCTGTCCATCAAACACGTGAAGTGGAGGGCTACATCCTCCACCAGGGAGTACTCAGCAGAAGGGTAGTCAGTCGTCTTTTCGACTATCAGCTGTGGGGAGGAAGGAAATAAAATCATTCAACGGGGCTCTTTCCCCCCCAAAATTGCCCGCCTGGCCGTGCCACCCATCCCTGGCCGTGCATCCCAACGCAGAGATGCCAACTGTGAAGCTCCACCACCAGCCCCAGCTTGGAGATGCCAACCCCTGAGGCTCCACCACTAGACCCAGTTTTGAAACACCAGGAAGCTCCACCACGTGCCCCTACTTGGAGTGGCCAACCAAAATGATCCACCACCTGTCCCAGCTTGGAAATGCCAACCAAAACCACTCCATCCCCATCTCCAGCTTTGAGATACCAACCAAGAAGCTTCACCACCAGCCCCGGCCTAGAGATGTCAACCAAAATGCTCCACCACCAGACCAAGCTTTGGAACATCAAGAAGCTCTATGACCAGGCCTAGCTTGGAGATGCCAACTAAGAAGCTCCATCACCTGTCCCAGCTTGGAGTTGCCAAACAAAACACTCCATCCCCAGCTTGGAGATAACAACCAAGAAGCTCCACCACCAGCCCCAGCTACAAGATGCCAACCAAAATGCTCCACCATCTGTCCCAACTTGGAAACGCCAACCAAAACACTCCATCCCCATCTCCAGCTTGGAGATACCAACCATGAATCTCTACCATCAGCCCCAGCTTGGAGATACCAAACAAGAAGATCTACCTCAAACCCCAGCTTGGAAATGCCAAACAAAACACTCCACCACCCATCCCAGATTCAAGATTCCAACCAAAATGCTCCACCACCAGACCCAGCTTTGGAACACCAAGAAGCTCTACCCCCAGGCCCAGCTTGAAGACGCCAACCAAGAAGTTCCACCACCAGCTTGAGTCCGGGAGACTCAACTAAGCAGGAAACCCCAGTGAAAGGGCAGGTCATGACCATACATATCCCTTCAACATGGGTAGGAGGTACCACGGCCACCCCACCTTTGGAGGTCCAAAGCCAGGCTCAGCTGTCCACACTCACACAGAGGAGATGTCACACAGGAGAGGGGATGCCTTGACCTCCTGAACCAGATGGAGACCCCAGGGGGGACATTTGCCCCCCGCAGGAAGCCAGTTTTAGGGACCAGCTGAGATTTAACCCCCTGAATAGATGGAAATTAGGATTTTATACCTCCCTGTTTGTGCAGATAATTACATGAAACCCACAATCCTCTGATATTTGCTGAATATCCACCGGGGTGATTTATGTACATTTTTATGCCCGTGTTCAATCACCTGGGGAAAGGCACTACCTGGAAAAATTCAAATCAGGGAGCAGCATGCCCAGGCTGGGAAACACTGGGACTGCCAACCCTCCCCAGGCTGTGTTTGCTGGGTTTTTAATTGAGCTCACACGTATTTTGCACACTCTAGACCATCCCTGGATGTTCATCACCTTTCCTGGTCATAAATGAGCCCCAGAATGGGGTTTACCAGCTTCATCCCAAATCCAAGGGATATCCCATGCCATAAATCCTGTGTCCTGTATTAAAAGCAGATGAGATATATCTTTTCTCTCTGCTTCCCTTGCTGAACACCCAATTTATGGATGGAGACAGATCTAGGCTTGTTAATTCCCTCTTTCCCCACCATTGTGGGATGTGACAAAGGACGTGGTGCAGAACAGTCGCAGAGATGGAGGGTTCAACCTGCTGGGTTTATCCTGCACCTCCTGCTCCACAAAGAGTTTCTCAGCTCCCACTTTTTCTGGGACAAATGGCAGCTCTTGATCAACACACGAATTCCAGCAAGACACATTTTGTTTGTCTTCTGTTTTGTTTTTTTTTTTTGTGAGCCAAAGGCAAAAGCACACACAGACAAAAATGTTTAAATAATAGAAAAGGGTTTTTTCTTCTCTGTTTTCTTGTCAAGCAAAAAAACCCTTCCCCCTCCCTGCCAAAATGTTTCATTTTCACTGGATTTTTGCTCTGCCACCAACTCATCCAACCAACAGGGTTGGTTGGTCCTGACAGCCCTGGAAAGCCCAGGGAAAAAACAGTTCTGCTCCAAATTCTTGGCTCTGCAGCCTGGAGTGGGGCAAAGAGGTATGAAAAGGGGGGGATTATATAGATTTTACATATGTTTATATATGTATTTTATATTTTTAGTGCTCTATACGTTCATGTTTATGTACATTTAAACTGTTTATTTCTAAAAATACATAAATACATAAACACATAAACACTTCACATGTGTATTTGTTACAAAATGCTGCATCCCAGCTGGAATATCCACCCACCCCCTCCCCTTTCCCGAGTCTAGTGACTGCCAAGGACATTTTGATGAGATCTTGGATGGCTCAGCCCCCCCCCCCAAGACATGTAGAAAATAAATAAAAATCCAATAAATATCGAACGCTGAAGAGGCAGCGAGAATTCAGAGGAGCAGTTTGCCAGGTTCTCTCCTGAAAAATAAATTGAATTCGGGGTTTTCCTGCTGGGATTCATCTCACCTCGATCCCTTATATAGGATGGGGAGAAGCAGAGCGACGGCCGGGGAGAAATGGGTGCAAAAATGAGGGGAATTGGGTCTGCCTCTGCACGGCCCAGCCTGGAAAACAAAAGCCGGGTGTGTTGTTGTTTTTTTTTTTTCCTCCGGATCGAGGTTTTTTGGCAAAAGGGGCCGATCCCTCACCCAGAGCCGGGCTTTGCCAGGCGGCTCTAATCAGTCCCAGCAGCGGCGAGGACAATGCGTGTCTTGGCCGCGTCCCGCCGGTGACTTCAGCCCGGGCTTGTCAGCGGGAGGCTTTTGCTCTTTATTGCTCTCAGATGCTTTCCGTGAGCTCGCCCGGAGGCAGAGCCCCAGCCAAGACAAGAGGCGCCTGCCGGGGTGAGAATCCCGAGAAAGACCCCGACTTGCCCCAAAATACCCCCCCTCCGGCAGCTCCCGCCCCTGCTGGAGCGGAGGAGCCCTGACTGTTTGGGATTAATGGGAGGGTTAAAGTCGGTACTCTGCCTCTGGGAAAACACAAATATTTTATCTCTCTCTCTCTCTCTCTCTCTATATATATATATATATATATTCATATTTCAAAAATGCTTCTATTAAATATATAGAGATATTAAAAAAAAAAAATCAGAGTTTTGCTCTTTTCCACCATCACCACCCCGGATGGTTTAGCGCCGTGACAGCAGGAGGAGGAACACAGGAGCAGGTCACCCATCCCACCTCCATCCCTGGTCCGGGGTGCTGGGTGGGTGCACAAAACTGGAGTGAACCCTAAAACCCCCACAGAGCCAACCTCTGAGCGGGGTCTTGACACCAAAAAAACACCCCCTAAAAATTATTAGAAAGCAGCACGTTCATGAAGTGATGTTCATGAACTCTCCACCCCAAGGGCCCGGCGGCGCCTCCAGCCAGCCCTCCCCGCCCTGCCCCTGCCCTCCAGCTCTGTTTGAAGTGTTTTCAAGTGATGCTGCCAAAGCCCCATCCCAAAAAGGCCACCGGGGCAGGAGGGCGGATGGAGGATGGGGAGGGGGGTTGGATGAGCCCAAAGGGTGGGTGATGAGTGATACAGGAATGGTGATCAAGGCCCTCTGGATGGTGATGCTGAGCTCCCTGGATCAGGGCAGCCTCTCTCCAGCAAGTCCACCAAGAATCCTGCTACAGGAGGTGGAGCCCAAGCTCCATTTCCACTCACAACGTGCCTCAGTTTCCCTAAACAGTCCCAACACCACCTCATCACCTCCCCTGAAAAGTGTCTGTTGCTGGATTTAAATCAATGTACTATGGTAAAATGCTATTTCTCTTAGCAGGTATTAAGAGCCAGATCCTTAAATGTTCCTGCAGCTCCAAACCTCCCCAAGGGACCAGCAGGTCAGGCCAATCTCATATGTTTAAATACCCAAATCCTCAGCCCCCCAGAAGACCATCTGTGACCTTCACCAGCCCCTCATTTCTCTTTTTTCTTTCTTTCTTTCTTTCTTTCTTTCTTTCTTTCTCTCTTTCTCTCTCTCTTTCTTTCTCTCTCTTCTTTCTTTCTTTTCTTTATTTATTTTTTCTTTCTTTCTGTCTCTTTCTTTCTTTCTCTCTTTCTCTTTCTTTCTTTCTCTCTCTCTTTCATTCTTTCTTTCCATCCTCCTTTCTTTCTTTCCTTCCTTCTTTCCTTCTTGCTGTCCTTCTTTCCTTGTCTCTTGCCTTCTTTCCACGTCTATTGCCCTCATGACCAGAGCATCAAGGACCATAACTCTCTCCTGAAATACCACAGGATGGGGGATTTTGGGGCATAAAATGCACATTTAGGTGGTGACAAGCCCCTGCTTCACCCTCAAGCAAAGCAGTTAAGACCAAGTGCCCATGAACCAGTTTCCACCCAGCACAAAATCTGGGGATTTCTTTAAATTTTTCACCCTCAAAACTCCCATAAAAAAAAGGCAGTCTGCTTTTCTCTATCATTTCCAACCACCAAAACATTCACCGTTGACCTTCAGTATTAAATTGCATTAAGGAAAAGTGCTTTAATAAGGAGCTGAATTCGATGTCAGCACTTGATCCTCAAAAAACCCAGTGTCCTCCTCTCAATTTGGACATGGCTGCACTTCAGGATGAAAGAGCTTGGCTGAGACTACTTAATGCCAAAGCTTGACTTTTGCTAAGGAAAGAAATAATGTTAATAAACCTATTTTTACAGATTAATTCAAGTGATACAAAGGGGTATCATTAGAAATCCCAAACACTCGTGCTTTCAGTTTTAATCCTCAGTCTCCTACAATCTGCCCTCTGCTTTCCAGACCCTTGGATGAAACCTCCAGCCCTTTCTCCATAGTTTTGAGGCCGCTCAGAGGGGTTTTTTAAGGATAACGTGACGCCTGTGTCTTCCCACGGCTCCCAAAACCAGGATACACCAAGACGAAGCCGTCCCAGAACGAGCGGCGCTGCCCGTGCACATCCCGTTGCCAAACCACCTATTTTTGGGCCACGGCCAAGCGTGGAAAACATGGCAGAGGGATAACCCACATCCCAACACTCCCTACCTTCACTGCTCTGCCCCGCTGCCGCCTCCCTCCCCGGGGATCTCTCCCGTGGGTGCTCCCGGCACGGGACAGCGCCGGGGGTGGGATTTGTTCGCTTCTCCTCCGACCGACCGGCGGGTGTTTTCATTTAATTGGGAGAGGGTTGTCCGGAAAAACAAGCAGGAAGGGAAAACAATAGCTCGGCCACAGCCCCGCCTGGCGAGGCGCCGGCCCCGGCACGGCCCCGAGCGCCCACCGCCGGCATCCTGCCTTTGGGATCACTGGGATCACCGGGATGCTGCCGCAGCTGCACTGTGCACTCACCATCCCACCTCCGGAGGCCGGGGATGACCTTTGGGGTGGTGGTGACACCACGTAAAGGGGTGATTTTCCCCCGTGTGTCTAAAATAGAGCCCTATACCTGTTATAGCAACAAGGGGAAGGGGCTCAGCGATGCTCCCAGAGCCTCTCCCACCCCGGGGTGTCAGACATCCCAAAAAACACCTCCCAGCCTCTGCACAAGTGAAGAAGAGCATTAACCCAGCTGTGGGACAGTCAGATGTTTCCCAGCCTTTTTTTTTTTCCCCTCACATTTTGTTGTTTTAAAATTTTTGTTAATGATACCCAGCATTTACAGGCTTTGGCTCAAATGAGCTTTTCCCAGGAGCAGCCTGGGAAGTTGGCACAGCAGCACCAGGCCCACCACGACTGTCCTCAGCACAAGGGAACAGGGGCAAATCCCTCTCCCATCCCTGTCTCCCTGCATCCAAGGGGACACCTCTGCAAACAAGGGAAAGGTTCATTTGGGTTTCTCTCTCCTGTTGGCAGCGTGGGGAGAGCAGGGGGATGAGGTGGGATGAGCAGGGAGATGAGGTGGGATGAGCTGTGCTCCCCTGGGAGCAGGCACTGGCTTCTGACAGCACAACCCACAGAGGGTTAATAGCTTGGTGCTTTCTCATTTATTTTATGGGTTTTTTTTAATTTCTAAACCCCACCAGCCTCTCTGGATGGTTTTCTCCTTCTCTTTCACACACAGAGCTGCAAAGCCACGATGATACTTCCAAGGATGGATGGACATCAACTCTGCTGTCACCCCCCATCCCCAAACCAGCCCAGGGAGGTGACACAGCTCCTGGGGGATGCCACCATCCTTCTGTCCCACCAAGGGTGACAGCAAGGGCAATGCCAAGCCCTGGGAGTCCATCCCAGCATGTGTGAAGTCGAGCACCATCCCCTTTGCAGGCACGGCCTCTGCTGCAAAAATACTGAGGCTTCAGCAATGCCACATTATTTCCAGCCCAGGACAAATCCCAATCCCTTGGGAAGGCACCAAAGCAGGCTGGATGCACCCATCTGTCTGTCCCTGTCCCCTCAGTCAGGGCTGAAAGGGGTTTCTTTGGGCAGCTCAGCCAGACCCAGCACGTGGTGCAGAAGCTCTGCAGGTAATTCCAGAGCTGCGCCAAGCCCGGAGCCGGGTCTGGAGTTAAACCCCGAGGAGACGCCGCTGGATTTGGACAGAGCAGGCGTCCTCCTGGCAAACACAGACAGGACAGGCCGGCCGCGGGGTCCCCGCCAGCGCCTGGCACAGCCAGTGACACCCGGCTGATGGAGATGTCCCCGAGCCGCCACCCTGGCACGGGAGCAGGCGGCGGGATGGGGTGGGATGGGATGGGCTGCTGCCTTCCTGCCGGCGGGATGCAGGACCTCCCGCGGAGCCACTGCCCGGGTGGACGAGCCCGGGGGATCCGCAGACACGCAAAGCCACTGTCCCCCTCCCTCCCCTGCCCGGGAAAAAACAGGCGGAGGGAAGATCGAGGGAGGAAACGAGGACAAAACCCAGCGCTGACCTCCCCAGCCGGGCTGGCGGCCAAGCGGCTGCGCCAGGGGCCGGCTCCGAGCGCTGCCCAGCCCGGGGGGAGCCGGGGAGGGGCATCAGCCCCCCAGGCCCCACGGATGTCCCACTGCCAGCGAGGGAGGGGGTGGATGCAGCAGGGCAGGCAGTGCTCCAATCCCCTCGTGGGGTCATAAGACCCACCCTCAGTACCCCCAAATTCGGTGCCAGGAGCACGGACGGTGCAGCGAGGCAGCCGCTGGGTCGCTTGTGCAGAGCCTGGAGGCGTCACAACCCTGAGCCAGAACCACTTCCATGTGCTGCCACACGATGGCCGGGAAGAGGGTGAGATCCCCGGGAAGCAAGGTGGACGGATGGATGGACGGATGGATGGATGGATGGATGGATGGATGGGTGGATGGATGGATGGATGGATGGATGGATGGAGCCTCCTCCCAAGCACTGCTCCATGAGGCTTTCCTCAGACGGCAGCATCCCCTGCCCAGCACCACAGTTCCCATCCCTGGGGAAGCCACCACCACCTTCCAGGTGGGTCAGCAGGAAGATGGGATATGTCACTTCCAAGGTTTGCCTCACACCCAGCCCCCAGCAAACCTACAACCACAGTGTTTTCCAACCCAACCCCAGACCATGAAACTGTTCAACCTTGAACCTCTCCCAGCATCCCAGGCAGGGCTTTCCATCCTGGAGCATCCCCTCCAAACCCTGGCACTGACTCCAAGGATGGTCCCATCTCCAGTTCTTTCCTAAACCCAGCCTTGACTGGGGCTCTTTGGGAAGCACCACTTGTGCTCCTCTGGTTTGGGATGGATGGGATCTTAAAGATTATCTCGTTCCAACCCCCCTACCGTGGGCAGAGACACATTCCATTAGATCCAGCTGCCCAGATCAAGGATCTGGGTGCACCAGGTCCTTCCTACCTCACACTTTAAACGTTTTTTATGAACATGCATTAAAATGCCTCATTTTTATCAGGTTTTTTCCAGCAAATCCAGCACTTCAGGGAGCAGAGCTTTGACTCAGACAGGGTGTCAGCAGCCCTGGCTCCAGGCAAAATATAGAATCGTAAAAATAATAACAAAAAATGGGATAATTTATTGTAATTAAGCCCTTTACCCATCATATCTGCACTGCCATGGCCAGTGTTTCCCCATATTCCAAGGCCATCCCAGGAGAGGTGGATGAACACCGAGGTTGGCTGAAGAGGGGACAGCAGCCCTGAAGGATGTGGGGACAAGTTCTCAGTGTCCCCATGTGGGAACCCCAACAGAGCCATCCCTGCCCTGCCCAAACCACTCCAGCAACACAACACAACGTGTTCCCCTTAGAAATAAGGAAGGGAAAATTCGGAGGCACAGAGCCTGACCCTCAGCTCATCCTCCCCAGCAGCTCCTCCTGCCTCACAGGGACCCGTGGGATGCCAGGGGACATCCAGGATGCAAAACACATGGAGGATTCGAGTATCCCAATTTTTGGGGCCAGGCAAACGTGACAGCAGATTAAAAACTTCATCTCTTGCTCTTCCCAGAGCACTTTGTCATGGCCATCAGCACGTGCCCATCTATAAAGGCTTAAATGCAGCAAAGTGGGAGAGCCCTCAGTTTCCTTCTCCAGCCGGAGCACGGAGGGAGGGTGGGAAAATCAGCAATTCCCCCAAAACCTTCAAAGACCCTCTGATGTTTTGACACATTCAGTTCACCTGCAAAAGGTTGGGTTTCTCCCCCCCCCTCCCATTTTTCCTCCAGCAGAAAAACCTGCATCTTAAAAATAACCAATATTTAATCAACTCGCAGGCAGCCTCCCGCTTCTCCCTCCCTTTTCCAAAGAAGCCAATTCCAGAGGCGGCAGCGGGTTATTTTTGTGGAGGGGGTGACAAACCTCTCCCGCAGACGGGAGACGGGAATACAAGGCCGTTTATCTCGCCTGGTAACAACCCAACACGCCGTTAATTCCTCGCAGGGAGAACAAAGCTCCGCCGCGGAGCCAAGGGGACCCCGGCAAAAGCCCCGGAGCGGTGCTTATCCCAACCTGCATCCTCAGGGAAACTCCGTGGTCAGAGCCGGAATGTTTGCACCCAACGAGATTTCACCACAGATCCAGGGGAAAAAAAAAAATAAAAAAGAATAAATTCCTTTATCTTTCCAAGGAAGAATTTTTGCTCTGTAAGGCAAATCTTCCTCTGGTCCTTGCTGAGGCCGAGTGTGGAAGGAAAGGCTGAATTCCCAACTTTTCCCTGTCTTCCTCGCAGGGCTGCTCGCTTGAGTGGGCTCTGGGCATCTCCCTCCCCACCTCAGGGAATGAAACACTCCCAAAAACACCCCTGCATGTCCCCTGGTCCATCAGCATCTCCTCTGGGAGATGGGATGCAGGGGCAGTTCCAGCAGCTGATTCCGTGCCAGCAGGAATTTTGCAGGTCGACTGTGACTGACCAGCATGAATCCCATCCCAATCCCAATCCCAATCCCAACCCCAATCCCAGCCGATTTACCCCCGGTATCGGAGTCAGGGGGTGCCGAGCCCCATCCCACCATCCCGTCCATCATCTCCTGCGCTGAGCCAACGCCGTTTCCTTAATTTTCCAAGCTTGCACTTTCTTCCCCTTCCCGAAAAGCCGCTCGGACGCTTTCCCGGGGTGTTATGACGGGCACGGAGCCAGCGCTGGGGCAATCACAGCCCTGCACTTTTAGGGATGGGGGGGGGGAGGCACCAGGGTACCGGGAACCGCGGTCTGTGGTCACGGCACATCCCAGGGGATTTCCCGTGGATCCTCCCAGCTCAGGCCTGCCCTCTGCAACTCAGAGTAACCCCCCCCCCAAAACTCCGCCGGCCGATAAAATAGGTCACTGCCGCAGGCGAGAGCCCCGGCTCGGATGTTTTTATTATTATTATCGTTATTTTTTAAGTGCAGGGATGGAAAATCCCCTTCCCGGCCCGCAGCGGGGTGGGATGCTGCGCCCTCCCCGCGGCCTCGCTCCTCCGGGATGTCGGGGTGCTCCCAATATCCCCCAGACCCCCGGGAAAAGGGGGGGG